ACAGAATATACAATATACATACACACATCTTGTCAAAACAAAATAAAAAAGATTTTTCACCTACCTACCTACTCGGTATCCTGAGAGGCGAGTAGGTAAAGGGGAAACAAACAATTTTTTAAGGGTGGCCCGGTCGGTAAGAAAGTCCACAGTAAACTAGAAAGTACTAAGACTGTACTATCATTGAATTAAACTGAATGCTATACACACACAGCCGTGCGTCGCCACAGTGTAAAGTCCTCTGTGTTTTCGTCCGTTATCGTTGCCGCGGCCGATACGGTTCGACCGACAAACGATAGCGTCGTTGATAACGCGGGGGCGCCACCAGTGTCGTCGATTTGCCGACGTCAGGATGCCAGCAGTGCCGCGTACAGATGCTCTTGTGTTGTTGCAGATGAGCACGGATACTCTTATGTTGTGGTAGACGCGTGTGAATGCTCTTGTGTTGGTTACAGCCGCGTACGAATGTTCTTGTGTTGGTTATAACCGCGTACGTGTGCTCTTGTGTCGTAGAAGATATAGACGAACCTTCTCGTGGCAGATGCATGTGAATGCTCTTGTGTTGTGGCAGACACAACCGAATGCTCTTGTGTTGGTTGCAAACACGTACGAATGCTCTTGTGTCGTTGCAGACGCGATCAGCGAGAACAACCCACGAGTCATTGACGACAGCCGGGCGCGCAAGCTGGCATCCGATCTCAAGCACTGCTCCTACTACGAGACGTGCGCCACCTATGGGCTGAACGTGGAACGAGTCTTTCAGGACGGTGCGTGTCTCTCCCGCCGCTGCCGACACCTAAAATACATTATATGTATAGCTATATAATTATATATGTATTTAGCAGCACTCATTCCTGTATGAGGTTTATGACTGTATAGCATGTTCGGTATGATTTCCTATAGGCAATCGCGCGCACAGCGGCACGAACGACGACCGACTGATCGAACCCGCGTCGGCGAGCTATATTCTATCTGTGCAGCCAACCAGAGCGTGTCAGCTGGCGGCGCTGGTGGGCATGCGTCACGAGATACGCCAAGGTTCGTAATATACCTGTACATGTACGCACGCACGCGCATATCTATCTCCTCCTCCACGGTGGAAGCGTGTTAGGAGGCCGCGCGCATGATAGTTATCTCTGTCTGCGGGACAGCAGGTCGGCGGACTACTGGCACGCTACCTATATATACTCGTTACACCACGTTAGAAGAAAGTATACAGACACTATTCCCCGCGGCAGGTGCCAGGACTTCGGAACGACTTCTATAGACATCGCCAGTATTCTGTACAGCAGCCCGCTGCGTAGAGGAGCCGTGACAGGTGGGAATGTGCGTGCGTGCGTGCATGCGTGTGCGCGCGTGCGCGTGCGTAATCGATAGCTCTTGTAACAGGCTTTTAGTTGATGCGATCCCGGTAATAATACAACGTATAGCGGTACATATATATGTATATAACGTGTAATTAAATATGAGTTTTGTTAATGATGTTTGTAATTAGTTCTGAGTCTTCGTCGTCTTCTTAGTCGTCGTCGTTTTTACGACGCCGTGCCATCTTATACAATCACACGCGTATAAGCACGCATATAATATATATATATATATATATATTATATGCGTGCTTACGCGTGTGATTGCGTGCGTGTGCGCCCACGTGCGCGCTTGCTTGTGCGCGTGTGCGTGCGTGTGGGCGTGCACGCGTAGGTACAGGTGAGTTGTGTTCAGATGAGCGCACGCGTGTTACTGTATGGCGCACTGGTAACTTAAGTGGCCAGCCCAGTCTGAGCATGCGACAGTTAAGGTCCCGTGAGTCTGTTGTCCCACTCAGCGCTCGCACAATATAGCGGCATCACCCGTGGGCAATGGAAGCGGCTGGAGAATGGTCAAATCCAGGAATAGCTGTCGTCCGGTTCAATCCGGTTCCGTCAATAGTTCAATCAAGGAAGAGCTCACGGCCGATGTCAAAATCCGGTTCCGTGAATTGTGCTGCCGAAATTCCGTTCAACGGTGATGCGCTCCCGCGACAATGTGCAGCGAGAATAGACAGTTTACTGCGTATTTTTGTGTGTGATAATATGTCGCATTGTGTAGGGTGTGTTATTCTCAGTTGTTATATATACCTATATTAGAAGTAGATAATAGATAATTCCCTATTATCTACTTCTGACCTATATGGTGTTTTGTTATCAGAGTTGTTCGCTGATGTCGCAGTAGGTACTTAGCGCGACGGATATCGACATTTTTCTGCGTATTACTCTGCGATAATAGATCGCATTAGCGTGCATTGGACTGCAATGGTGTGTATCCTGCGGTGTTCGTGTAAGATAGATTCACCGTGCACGTTCAGAAACGATATAGTTAATTGGCTTTGCGGGATTCGTGCATCACAGGTATGTATATACATACATCATGTCGCTGGGACAATTTGCGTTCAACGTATCTACATTGAATCTGCGGTCATGTGAACTATTCTAAGGAAAGCCTCTCACTTCCCGTTTCCAGGTTCTCGGTTTAGTAGGTGCCGTAGTGGCACCCGTTTTAAGGGCAGTGTCAGGTTGCGTCGATAGATAACAGAAACACAGTATTATGAAAACTACTCTTCGTGCTTTGTTTTACACCACAGAATATTCGTTGCACGCACAATTCTACGATACTATACAGATGTCTCCAAATCGTAACACTCGCGCCGCGTGTCGCGTAATCGAATACAAGTAATTCCGTACCTTAGAGAAGCGGTTCGCGGAGGCGCTCGGCGGGGTGAAGGTAGGTCGGTGGAAGGTAGAGCGGAGAAGTATCGCTGGAATAGGGTGTAGGAGCTAGGCGAAAACTGGACTTGCTGCGGAAAGGATGAGAGCCGAGTCGTTACCTGGGGAATAACCATGGCCGATCGGCCCTCGAGGCATTAGTGTCTCGGACGCTACGGGCGTGGTGTATAGTGATTACCTGCGGCGTTCTATTATTATTTATCACTTGGAGCGGAGAGGTGTGTTGTTTCTAGTGATTGCATTTGGGGAATAGTGTGGGGCGATATATTTACTCTCTGCGGGAGCGTGCGCTATCCTATACACTATTTCACTCAATCTTAAAATGTAATGTATTAAATAGATTCTTCTGCCATGACAATTCATATCCCTCTGTACTGTCTACAGATGCAATCTACTGATAAAATAGATAAATCTAGGTAATCTCAAATATAATATAATCTAGGTGAATTCCGATAGTCGGCGACGGTACATGGTACCACCAGACACTAGAGTCGCGGCCGGTCACTTTATCCATTACCCGCGATATGTTAATTAAGTCTAAAAAGGTCGCGGAGGGAAGGCTCATGGCTTAAAAAAGCGCGGTTTTGGTAGAGAGGGGAGAGACGACGGCAACCTCTAACCGGTGTATTGTTGTTTTTACTGTGTTGTTTATCTGTCGTTATTACTGTTTTTCGTTCGTGATGTATGTCCACACTACATCAATAAGAGAGCCATGGGTCGATCAGCGAAAATGATAACTAAATAAATGATGACAGAATAATTATAACAGAAGACATTCGGATGACGTGTACGCTATTCACACAGGCACGTCGATACATTTGTACTGGTATGCACTGATGCCCGCGGCGGTGTGTCCAACACATACCAGACGTGACAGGCGGTGTGGGGGTGCAACAGCAGCAAGTAGACGCATCTCGGCAAAGACGAGAAGTAAGTGAGGTCATATGGTGAGGTGCACGATCTAACCACTGAACTATAGCAATTTGTTATAGTTTAGTGGATCCAACGCGACGTGTATGTACGTGCCGCCACTTACTTACACGTCCTGTCTTGTTTCCTTACGTTGTATTTTTTGCCTTATAAAAAATGGGCGGTCGCTCGCATAGACATACATTCACGTAGATATACACGCAGACATACACGCAGATATACACGCAGATATACACGCATATATACACGCAGATATACACGCAGATATACACGCAGATATACACGCAGATATACACGCAGACATACACGCAGATATACACGCAAATATACACGCAGATATACACGCAGATATACACGCAGACATAAACAGGGTTAGTAGGTTATTCGTCACCTTAAAAACCTGTTTCACAGCTGTTGCTGTTGCATGTTTTCTTTGGAAGAGATCGCGCGTACGTTTGTTCACGTACGATCTCATACGTAGTACGATCATCCTCTTACAGCCCCGTGACTGAACTCTGTGCGCGAGCACTCTGGGTTATTAGTGGCATGAATAAAACACGCGTGCGGCCGGGAGCCTACCTGACAGCTGTCAAGACGAGCTAGATTTCGTGACTGTAATAAATCCGCGTATATAGTTTCGTTATTACACAGGGGCGTGTACAGGGGGGCGGGGTCTAAGGGGTTCGGACCCCCCCCCTGGCTCGCGCAGAAAACGCATCTAAGGGGGTCTAATTTCAAAAAATTTCTGGGGGAGGGCCCCAGACCCCCCCTTCGCGTGCTCCCAAGTTTGGGTTACGGTTAGACCCCCCCTGGTACAAATCCTGTACACGCCTCTGTTACATGCTAAAAGGAATCGACTATGGAAAAATATATGGTTAACACAATATATGGTTGTAAAAATACACGATCAAGAGCGTATTAAGTACTTAATACACGCTCTTGATACTATCAAGAGTACATAATAGAGATACAGAGTACATAATCTCTATTATGTACTCTTGATACTATATATGCGTATAACTAACGGATGAGTCACGCACGTTTCCTATTGTCTTCCACAGCATGCTCGTGCGCACATATAGAGGGAGTACGTTCGTGAGAGGCGTGGCGGCTGCCGTATTCCTGCTGACGCTCTACATCGTATGGAGTTGTCACCGGACATCCAGTAGCGGTACGTGCGTGTGCGCGCGTGTGCGTGCGCGTGTGTGCATGTGTGTACGGGCATGTATATACATATATATATATATATATACTATGTATATCCATCAATAGTAATGAATATAATACTATATATATTAAGGAGTCGATAATGGAAATAGAAGTCTATATGATTTGTATATATAAGTCCATTATAATTTGCGTATTATGGACTGCTTGATATATCATATATGATTTATATATATGTGTGTTGTGTGTGTGTGTGTGGCGGCGCGCGCGGTGTGGTGAGCGTGGCATGGCGTGCGTGCATTGTGTGTGTGTCAGCGCGTGATGTGCCGCACTGTATGTGTGCCTGCGTGCGTGCTGTGTATGTTTGTGCCTGCGCGCGTGTGTGTGGCGTGCGTGCGCTGAGTGGGCGTGCGTGGGCGGTGCGTGGGCCGTGCGTGCGTGCGTGGCGTGCGTGTGTTCGTGGCGTGCGTGCGTGGGTCGAGGCCGGTGTAAGCTAGCTTGCATGACCAGATGGCGTAATACCACTTGTCAATTTGGATATGCAAACACCGACACCTGCCGTAGATTTACAAAAAATATTCTAACGTGTGCGGCACGGTTGAAGTAATGTTTTGACAAACCTCAACTGATATTTCAGGTGGTGAATAAGTAGAGATTCCTAGTTGTGTCAGCCTGCCTCATAACAAATACTCTCGCGGCCGACAGCGCGCATGCTGAGCAGTGCTCATGTAATTCAATGTCAAAAAAAACCTTGTCAAGTTGTTTTAATTGACTAATTACATGGTAGGTCTGGCGTAGGTTAAGTTGCTTTTTTATATACACATCATTGTCATGATCACTACATGGCCTGATTGGCTGGGGCCACTTAGTGCTCTCATAGTGTTGCCTTTGGGAAGCGATATGTGCCACGAGGCAGTAGGCGAGCATTAATTCTGCCAAAAGCACACTCTGACAGCATAAGTGCCCAGCAACGAGGCATTAATGTTTTAAAGGTGCATCACATGACCTTTGCAATCTACTCGCCAAATATGAATGACTGGTGAGGAAAGAAGGGAGAACGAAAAGAATAGAGCGAAAAGTTTTCTTAAGCGAAGGCAAATTTCATTTGTATTAAAAACACCCAAGCGCTCTTGCAGTAAGTAACAAGGGCGTGCGCAAAGCAATTAGTGCCTGCTCAGAACCGGCACTTATGTTTCATAGTACCTGCATGCGACGTTGTATCCAAATGGAATTTACAACGATTTATCATGTAATGGTCACTAAAATTATATAACTGTTGGCTAGTTTTAAACCTTTCTTACGCTAGGACCCCATTAATCGTCGGATGTTCTCTGTATCACTTAATTCTAAACTTCTGGCCATCAAATTCGTGCTAAAGAATAATGTTCTACGCTTAAAACAGGTTAAGAATTCACGGTTAGTATATATCGTATATCTATACATATATCTATATATATATAATAAATAATATATATGTTATGAGTCAATAGTATATACAGGTATGATAAATGCGCGTAGATTTACCCTAAATATATTATACAATTTAACCCACCCGTGTGTTTTAAAGCGCTGTTTTTAAGGCCCTGATAGGACATCCATTATCATTGTAAAGAGTCTACGCTGTTGATGGTCTATAAGTCTCTCGAAAAGAGCATATATAATGAACTGGGGCCGTTATCAAGAAAACGTAAAATTACGTCTTAACGTTATTGCTTAGATAGTTAACTTCGACTCGCCTAAACCGTTGAACAGAATCATGTATTAAAGTTCCGCGGTATCGTAGGTTTTTCCGATAGATTGCGATGGCCACTGTCCCAGGAACCGCTATTCCCGCGGTCATATTCACCATAGTCGACATGCTATCTTAGGCATCGAACATTAGTCGTAAGTGCTATCATTAGCATTAACATTAGGGCCTAAGTGCTATCTTAGGCATTAAACATTAGTCGTAAGTGCTATCTTAGCATTAAGCATTAAGTCCGTAAGTGGCTATCTTAGCATGCACATTCAGTCGTCAGTTCCATCCTGAGCACTTCAACCTCAGCATTAACTTTACGGATAGCTTTTCTGACAAACGGCCCCATGGGCTCATTGCATCTAGCATCACGCTTTTTAATATTGATCTTATAGTGTCGTTACGGCTTTATCTAATAAAGCTGGGCCATCTTAGGTTCTTTGATGCTAATAGTGCACATTATATTTATTATACTGCTCACTTATCTCTCCATATACGTTATATATATATATATATATATGATGGATGCGTGATGCGTGCGTGGCGTATGCTGTGTGTGGGTGTGTGTGTGTGTGTGTGTGTGTGTGTGTGTGTGTGTGGTGTGTGTGTGTTGGGTGTGTGTGGTGGGGCCCCGGCACGCGTATGTATGTGCATTATCTCTATTATATATATATTATATATATATTGGCCTACTTAGTCCACATCTTAGCCATCTAATTGCTGCGTATATCAGTGTGATGGCGTAACTCGGTCTCCATGCTTCCATATTGCAGTGTGGAGTACGTTACCAGCAGGCTGGCACGCTGAGCGAGCCCGCAGCGGCATACTGCGCCACCTGTCCGCCATACTGCAGTACAACAGCAGTGTTGCCGAGCAATCAGCCGACACGGCGCAACAGCGGTGGCCACC